AGAGACTTCTTGATCCCAGTCTTCACTGGATGCCTCAAAATTCACATTGTGAGCAAAAACTTTGTTGAATTTTGTTGTTTGTTAGCGTTGGACCTTTTCCTGCTAAATTATCCATCTCATGGTTTATCATACAGACGTGACAGCGGTTTAAATCTCCTTATTAATAAGTAATCCAGGAAAAAGTCAGTTACGCTTGTGAGTTATTTTGTCTTCTTTAGACAGAAGCTTCAAGCAAAATCAGCAAACCTCAGAGATTTTTGAGGCAGTTTTGTTTTTCTTCACCTTCAGACTGAAAATAAGCTCACTGCATAGAGCTGCCTGAGAGATTTTAGACACCTGATATCCTTTCACTTCAGCCAAAGCACTGAAAAATCTATATTTTTGAATGACAACACGGCGAAGCTTTAAGCAAAGCCACAATACCAGCTGCAGCTGCTCTGTCAGTTGACGGGTAACAAACTCACCAGCAACATGAGGTAAATTATAAATTTGTTGGAAACAAACAAGACTGTCCAATTCATGCCAAAGCTGCAAAACCGACCTCTCGCGGAGCTGCTGAGAGGCAATAACAGAAGCAGAATAAAACCAAACTGGGTGAAAAGTTAAAAACAAAACTGCTCCAAACTCATGAGTAATCTCTGCGCACATAATATTGCTGTGGCTTAATTAAACATTTATTAAGTGATTGTCTGCTGTGCCTGTGGTTTAGCAGCGTTTGGCTGCAGCTGCCTGTCCTGGACTAATCCTCTGTATTTTGTGCTGAGAGATAACGAGAGGGTGACAGGACTGAGAAGAGGAGAGGGAGGAAAAATGGGTTGCGGCTTTCCTTGCAAACAAATACGACAGAGAGGTGAAAGCTGTGATCCATCCATCTGTCTCTCTGCTCCTTTTCTCTCTTTGGTTTCCTCACTCTTCGCCTCTGTCTCTCATTCACACTTTTTTCTTTTTTGCTTCTCTCCCACCTTCTGTCTTCCCTGTCTCTTTCTCACTAATGAGAGCCAGTGGGGTTTCTCAGCAGCCTAACAACCAGCATGTTTGTCTCTGCCCAGACACCAGGGGCCCACAGATTACTGCTCCCCCATGGACTAAATGAATACACAAATAAATACAAGGCTCCCAGTACATTTTCTGCAGCACCACATTGCACTAAGAATATAACACGATGAAAAATGCATGCGACAGGAATGGTGGCAGAGGTGAAGGCAGGGCCAGGGGCACCTTGGGTCTGATTGGCCGCTGCATACCTCACACCAGAGTCAGAGAAGGATGGCTTGTTAGTATTATGGATGGAATATTGAACAGGTTAGCTGAAGATGTGGGGGACCTCGTGATTCCAGGTTTTATTAAACGAGGTGGCACAAGGGCGGCCAAGGAAACTGCTGGGAGGCCAGGGCCAAAATCATAAAAAAATATTTTAAGATATCATCTACAAAAAAGACACAAAACAAACTGATGCACAATGATCACAGGTATACCCAAGAAGGCCAAAACACACTAAAAAAAAAAACCCAAAACAGGCTCAAAAGTTCATAAAAAATTGAAAAATATTAAAAATAGACCCAATAAGACCACAAGCAGATTCACAAGGACCACTGACAGCCAAAAAACAGTGAGAAAATTGTCCCTCTGGACTCACAGAGCTTAAAAATGACCATGCAATCATGTTAAATATCTTAACATCTTCACAATGTTCTAATGGCGCTTCTCAACAGGAATTAACAGCTCTATGAAATAAGGCTTAGACACAGACACAAAATGCCCACTGAAAGACACAAAGCAACAACAGATGAAAACAGATGAAAAAATAAATGTAAAATGACTACAAACAGCTGTAAAATAACCCTGTCACTAACAAGAATCAAAACTTTAAACGCGTCTTATCTAAAGTTACTTCCCAGGGTGATGAAGTTCATCAGAATATTAATGTAAAATGTGCTTCACCATCTTCACGGTCCTGATGCTCTAATTACTGCCGGGAGATAATAATGTTCTCCATAGTTACTGCAATCATTTTATCATTAGACTGACATTTTATTAAAGCCTTTGTTAGAAAATTGTTTCAGTTAAAGTGTCATTTTCTTATCGCCGTTACATTGCAGGGGGGAATCTTATCTTCATTACATGGAGGAAAACAGGTAGGAGAGAATTACAGAGACGGACTGCATCCATCTCTTTACCCCGGTCCATTACTGCAGTCTGCCACCGCTGTGAAACACAATCTCTCACACAGCATCGGCAGAGTCTGTGGGCTGCCAGCTTCATTACTGCAGCATCAATCTTAATGCTGGAAGTAAAAAGAGTTTTATCCTAATCAATGCAATCCATGAAAGTCTTTAACTACAAGCTGTTTAAATGCTTAACATTAGATATTAAAGCTAAAATATCTCATGACAGACTGTGGATTTAGTTTATAGATTGCAAAAGGAAAGAATAAAACTCCAGCATGACACCGTCTATAACCTGACTTCAAAAACATGTAAATTTCAATAGCATAACCAAAAACTAAATGTAGAGTATACTGCATGTTATGGCTTGTGTACTGAACTGCATTAATTTAATGCCTAATACAATTTCTATCCAGTCTGTTGGTTTTATATAATTATGACGGACTTAAGAGAGACTTAAAGCAACATATATATATATTAAAAAAGGTAAGGCTGCCATCTAGTGGCAAAGCTAATTTAGTTCTGCAGAACGAGCTCATACATATGAAAACGACGTCTATACAATATTTAAGATTCTGGTACAAAGTACAAACATGTTAAAAAATATTTTTCAAATAGTGACTGTTTATGCAGTTCAGAGGAGTTATGACAGGGAATCAACAGACTCTTTATGAATGCTTTCCAGATCAGTTTTAATCCATTAATAATTAAAACCTCTGGGCTTCGAGACTCTCTAATCAGCCAATCACATGGCAGCAACTCAGTGCGTTTGGTCAAGATGACCTGCTGAAGTTCAAGCTGACCATCAAAGTGCAAACGAAAGGGGATTTGAGTGATTTTAAATGTGTCACAGTTTTTGCCAAACAGGAAGGTCTGAGTGTTTCAGAAACCGTTGGACTATTCTGATTTTCCCACACAACCACATCACATTCTATCACATGTCAGAGGTCAGACTGCTTTGACTGATAGGAAAGTAACTCAAATAAACACTCGTTACACGGTATGTAGAAGACAATCTCTGAATACAGCACCGTGAACCTTGAAGCAGCTGAGCCACGGCAGCAGAAGAGTTTTGAAAGGTTTTCCTTTGGTCATGTTGCACTTTTTAGAGTGAAATAACTACAAAAACGATTCACACAGCTTAAGTTACCGTGCTCACAAGATGAAATGTTTGCATATCACACATGCAAAGATGCTAAAGTAACAGCAGACACAGGTTACAGCTTCAAAAGCAAACCAACAGCAAAAAAACCCCAAAAAAACCCAACAATATTTAAAACTAAAATATTAATTGTTGTTTAACTGTCTTTCATTTAAAAATGTCCCACATTTCAGTGCTCCAGCTCGCCCAGTGTGAAAAATGCATGTTCCTCTTTTCATTTTTTTAAGTAGCTTTCAGTTTTTAAGTAACATCACAGTGTGAGCGGCTTACTTGGTGTTATGGGTAAACATTAAACCAAAACCTTTAATCAAGAAATCAGCACATTATTCCACAATGAAAAATAATCATCACTCAGTATCACCATAATTAGCCCCAATGCGAGCCAAATGAAACAGCCTGTCCATTAGTGATAATCTAGCTGTAATATAGGAGAAAAACAAAGGTGGTATTTTCTCTGCATTATTTGCCTCTTTTGATTTTTCTTATATTATATTCATATTTTTACAGCAGTAGGTCTGAATCCTCCTTACCACTGATCATTACACCTTTTCTTCCACCATGGAGTTATCAGCTTCATCTAAAAACCTGTTAGTATTTTATTGGTAGTCGATTCAAGTTTACCTGAGCATGAGAGGCAGCAGATGGCCTTCCTCTTTTGTTAGCTGAATAAGTAAAATAAACCAAACTGTTACCTTGGTCTGCAAAATGGATTTGTTTACTCTGTGGCTGTTCAAGTTCTGTGTAACTTAGTTTGAAGTAAATTGCCACCGTAGCACCTTTCTCACTTTGTCTTCTACAGCAGGGTAACAATAGATTCTTCTAAATTGAAGCCCAAATACGTAAATAGACTCGATGTGCATGTTAGAGAAGAATTGCTATGAGATTTGAAAATTCAAAGCCCAAGTTTAGTTTAAGTCTTTGTGGGGCATTATTCAAATTTATTCACCAAAACACTATGGAGACTCTAAACTTGTATCACTTATAATTAATCTAAAAGTAGACTTTAACTTACACGTTTACTATTCGGATTTGGGGAAAAGTCTCAATATAGTTGCCTTCTTTTCATTTTCATTAGAGTCAAGTTTTAACTTGTATTTTAAATAAGCTCCAGCTGCTCACTTAATCACAGGGGGTCCAACAGCGACAGAGGCGGCACCGCGTGTTTGATTCGGCTGATTTTTACATCAGAAGCTCTTCCTGACCCCAAGGGATTTGTGTTTTCTCCTGGAATCAAATTCATATTAATGACACAAAACGTACATTTTAAACAATCAAACAGAAATAAAGCAAAACAACATCATCATCATCATATGGTCCTTTTAATGCTTGATCTGAAGATGCTTTAATGAGTTTGAGCGGCCTTTTCATCCCGACAATAAAATCTTGTCTTTGACATCATTTTTGTCTGTTGCAAGTTTGAATCATATCTAGAATGTACAATTACGGGAAGATAAAACTCCGATGACTGGCATTATCTTTGTTTGCTGATGAAGTCAATTTGTTTTTTATTTTAATATTTTTAGTGAGCAGAATTCATTGAAAACTGAACTTTAAAACGTATAATAACACAGGGGTCTCCCTATGTGACTATTCATTTTGTATAGCAATGACATTTACTAAGTATTAAAAGCCCTTAAAAGGGGAAAACTAATAAGAACAAATGCTTTACCAACTCACTGATAATGTCTCTCTTTATTGACACTTAACAGTTAACAAAGAACAGATAGAAATTTAATTCTGTAAGACGAGAAGAGTGCACAAAGTGAACGTGAAGCTGTCTGAAAAGCCATTTCATTTGACGGTAAGACTGGAAATATTTCATGTTACACGCACTGTGGAGGCAAATCTAACACAGCTGCACTGAGCAACATACATTTAAATAAATAGTGTAACTAGGATCCTGGATAAGACATTAAACATACCAATGATAGTGTTTAAGCTCTGGGTGGTTCCAGTAACAAAGAGAACATTTTCTCTTTCCATAAAGCCCGCCAAAATAAGAGTCTGTGTAGGGTTTATTTTAATGCATGGAAAAAGCTGTCCTATGATGCATCTCCACTTCTAAAGCCTACTGAGCAGTGTTGCTCTTCACATGCTCTTATCAAATACATAATAAGCTAAAGGCAGGAAATTGAAAAAGCTCTAGCTTTATGTGTGATAACATACTAAAACAGCAAATCTAACTTTTACCTTTTCTCCCTCAGCCGAATTCATCTGACTCATCGCTTCCATTCTTTACACTCAAGGTCAAAGCTGATAAGCTATGAATATTCCCAGTCATTCCAGTAACAAACATGATAATAAAGCACGATAGGACAGAATAGAAGGAACTTCTGGCCAAAGAAACTCATAACACTAATAGCTTCTTGGCTAGAGGACAAGCTGGAAGATGAAACATTTTAACTGTGAGCAAACTTTCACATTTTCCCCCTCAAACTGACATAGTGAGTAAGTTGAGAAGTTGTTGTTGCATGTTGTTGAATGTTTTTGCATGATTTCCAGCCTTCTGCAAAGACGATGACACTTCAAAGCATCTTTTTAAGCCCCTCCTTTCATTGCAGTGACACGAGAACTACGACTCGATGAGTAGCAGGAGGATTAAAACAGAGAGGTTCAGAGGAAGTCATGTCCAAACTGTGAGACTCTGTGCACCCGAAATCCAGCCGTGCCATGAGCCTCTGTTTGTGCGGGTGGAAAGTGTCTGTGTGATGCATCAGAAGGTTAGCTGAGGAGGTCAGGCTGCAGGCCGATACGCTGAAGGACGTCCTCGGGCATGCACAGCACCGGATTCACCGCTTTGATCTGTTCGTCTCCAAGCAGGGAGAGACCTGCAACCCCGAACAGGGTGTGGAAAGGATCCACCTGCAAAGGAGGATTAACAAGAATCAATAAGACTGATTATAGAGAAAATACTACAAAAGTGGGCCACAGAAGTGGACCAAAATGCTTTGCACTCAGTGTCTTTGAAACCACCTGCTTTACCTCACATGCAAAGACTTTTCAAATATTCTTAAAATTCTTCTCACCATATCTCCTGGTCTATCGGCAAAACCTCCCGTCTCCTCGTCTTGACAGGCCAAAATAAACTTTCGTAGCTTGTCTTTGTCAATCCAGCGGATCCTGCCGATGATTTTCAGCGAGGCCAAAACCCACCACGAGTAGCACACATCTGGAAGCTGAATGATACCGAAAGTAAAGCAGAGGTGTCGCTCATATTTTCTGCCACATGCCGGTTCAGAATATGGAGGCAGCAGTCTTAGCAGAGCCACTGAGAGCTCCCTCTACCCACTCCACCTCCTTTAGCTCCACTTTTCTTGGTAGGATATGTCTGAAACACCTCAACTAGGAGGCGTCAAGTCAGTCAGCCCAGTCAGTCTTAGTCAGATGCCTGACAACCTCAACTGCCTCCTTTCAATGTGGAGGAGGAGTGGCTCTACTTTGAGGCCCAAAGAGGAGGGAGAACCCAGCCACCCTTTGGAGGAAGCTGATCTCCTCCTTTCAGACACATTAATATTTTATTTAAGCTTAAAAACTGTATTTATTAACAGGTAATCTAATCCAATAAATCATCAGCCTGTTCCATCTACAATATTGCTTCTACAGCTCAAACTCTTCAACTGCAAAGGAGTCTGAACTTCAAACTATAAAACCAGATACTTTCATTAAGTAACTCAATACTTCACAGTGTTTGGCACAAACCTTCTCAGGTCGACCATTCAGGCCTCCAGACGGCAGCTGTCTCTCACAAAGCCACCACCCCAGCAGGTCAGCGTTCAACTGGTGTAACTGGCCAGTGAGCGACAGGAAGCCAGTGCAGCAGTAAATCTGACAGACAGGAAGGAAAACACCGGAAATTGATTTTAATACCAACTGATCCTAAAGTGCCAAATTCACCACCAGGTTGAACACGTCATCCTTACACTGCAACTGTCTTGGCCTCATTTATAAGTCAGCTTCATTCAACAAGACTGGTGTGCAGGAGCAAATCAGGCAGGAAGTGTTAACTTAACATATCATTCCTTTATTTTATTTTAGGTTGAAACTTTCAATCAATCAATTTAAAAAATGAAATTATAATAATTTATATATAATAATAATAATATAATAATTATTGAATCTATTGACAAATAATTGCAATTTTGCTCAATTCTATTTTCTATCAAATAGAAACAAAACACTTCTGAGAGTCTCCAAACCTTTCTGTGGGAGTAAATATCAGTATATCAGTGAACTCACCTGACCAGCATGAGACTCAGAACCAGGTCTGCATCCAAAGCCTCCATCAAAGTTCATACATGACAAAACAAACTCTACGGCTTTGTCAACATTGATCGTGTCCATCTTGCCCTGGGAAACAAAAAACATCTTAAAATGAAGTATAATAAGCTTAAATTAACACAGTTTATTAAAACATGCTTGTTAAGACTTAAGAATGAAAGAGCTGTTGAGTCAACTGATGAACTTTGTGATATTGTGTAACTTTATTATTTATTTAGCCTCATTTTATCGACACAAATAAAGTCCGATGCTTCCACATAACACTGCTGAGTAATGGACTTTCTAAAACAGGTTCTATAAACTATAAAAAGTTTTAAGTTAACTAATAAATCATGTAAATAATAATTTACATGGAAAGACTAACATACATACCAGTAATGCGAGTGTAGCAACAGCGCAGAAGGAAAACCGTGTGTCTATTTCTCCTGCAAAGACAAATAAAATTTAGAAAAATTGTTCTTAGCTTTATTTATTTCTTCCCTAACTTAGAAGCACGTGTATTGTGGGATGTGAGAGTAAAACTCACTCACCCCACTTGTCCCCCGCAAAAGAGCCATCTTCCTGCTGCAGCCCTTTGACATACTCCACAATTTTGTCCACATCAATCGCATCTACGCTGTCATACAAGCACAAGATCTGAGGAAGAGAGTTCACAAAATACTAATAAACAAGAGAACATAAAATACACCATGTGCAGACCATTCAAGTTCCTTTACAGACCAGACACTATGGGACACAATTTGAGATGTTTACTTGAGCTAAATATAAGCAGCACTATGAAAAAAAATAAATAAACATCTAGAGGAATAAACACTAGAACTGCTAAAAAAAAAATTTGCTAAAGAGGGCCCAATTCAGAAATATTAAAGCACATATAAATATTTAAAAGTTCAGTGTATCATCTAGAATTAAAGCTGTAGAGAATACGAGAGTAATCTGCTACCTGGACGGCACTGAGGGTGTAGAGCAGGTGGGGGTCGTGTCCGATGCTGGCGCTCATGCCTCCACACTCGTGCTGACAAGCTTTGATGAAGTCTACGATCTCCTGCTGGTTCATTCTGGGTAGCTGGCCCATCAGGTCCATCACAGTCAGCCCCCAATAGATGCCGCTCATCCTCAAGTACTCAGACAGCGTGTACTCCTGACAAAACACCAAAGGTCAGCAGCGTTAGTTCAAAAACATTTGATGCTTTTTAGTGATTGCCCCTCTGAACTCCAAAGTCTACCACAGAAGCTCAACTGGATTGTTATCTGGAGGTTTTGAAGACCACCCATTCAGCGACCCCTTAGAATTTGAGTCCCACACTTTCTCATCCCATTCAGTAACTCCTCATCTCCTTTGGGTAGGATCATTGCCATCACTGGAGTGGCGGGATGACAACGACCACCCTTTACTTGCAAGTGGCCAAGCCCAGAATAGAAACACAGATATCAAGGCTCTGATGAGGCCTGTACTCACATAGTCGTCCTTTTTGGAGCCGTAGGCAGCGATGTAGTCTGCATGTTTCTCCAGCAGCAGCGTGCTGGGAGCGTCGGGCTTTATGATCACATCTTTCACCTGGGTCCCCTGAAATTCAACACACATCAACAACACGTCAGACAGCCTTAAAACTCAATAACTTGAAAAAATCTAACTTGACTTCTTCCTCTTCATAATCTAGCGCTGAGTTAACCCCTGTTTAGCAGATAAATGGCTGACTGTTAACATGATTCACGGCTTGTTGACAGGCTGCTACATGCTAACATCTTAGCCACTCTGCTAGCTGCTTTCGCTGATTAGCTCGCTTGTGTGGGACTAAGTTTGGATAGACTAGAGGAAAGAGCACATTTACATAATCTTTTATTGTAATGTTATCCTAAACTACACTCGTTATCACACTAGAAACAGGTCGCTGGTTACCATTCTGACATGATCCGGCGTTTTCCTTCTTCCTCTTCTACAACAATTCGGGCTGTTGGTTTGGAGCGCGTTATTGCCACCTATTGGTTTGGAAGGAGAACTGCAGCCTAAATCCTCATATTTGAAGTGATATTTGTTACTCGAATATATTTAAGCACAAATGTTCAGGTATCTTACTCAAGTCATTTATTTTTGCAGTGTTGGGGGAAAATGTCCCACTGCAATTATTTTTCCATATCCATCATGTGCAACTTCAAGCAAGGCACCACTGAAAACACTATGACCAGCTACACCACTATGTGGTTTGGAAACTCCACCACCTAAATCACATAGTAAATGCAGCAGAAAAGATCACTGGTTGCTTCTTTGCCCTCCCTCCTTGACAACTGTAACACCTGCCTAGCAGTCAGTACTGTGGTGACCTCCCCCATCAGACTGATACACAGTTTCATCCATCAGGCTGTCAAAAATATTGAACTCTTTCCTTCCTCTACTCACTCCCCACTCTGTCCCCCTAGAAGACTGGATTCTAACCAACCCACACATGAGCAATGTGTCTTACACCTAGCCTTTACATAAAGGACATTAGTGCTGCTGTTGTGTCTTGAAGACTATATTGCTGTTATCTACACATATTACTTCAATTACAGAACTGAAAATGAAGCAGACTTTTTAAAGTTAAAGTTGTTTTAAAAGTCCTTGAATATAATGAATATTTGACAGATTCCTAACAAGAGACGCTTGCAATAAAAAGAAAAACAAA